CCCCCCCCCCAAAAAGTGGACTGTATTTATATAGCAAATTTTTCCACAGTGTGTTGCACTGGCCAAAGCGCTTTACAGGCGCTTTACACCATTCACCCATTCACACACCGATGACAACAGAGTACAACGTACATAGTCATATTAACACAACTAAGCCCCAGTGGCAGTTTCTCACAGCTCAGTTTGCCTCAGGCAGTGTGCTGTGAAGAGAAAACATCATGTGTTCACTCATTGGGTTTATAGTCTTCTGTAGGGCTGTGAAGTAATCAAGATCATTGTGTGGCTACGTTTAATAACCATTCTCCTCCGAAGGTGTGAAGTTTAATATTTGATATTTTGTAACGCTGTATGAGGTGTATTTTCTCTGTTCACTTCATTGTCTTGCATAAATGTACAGTTCATGCACATAAATAGTTCAGAGGGTGTGTTTGTGCTGCTGATTATTTGCGACAGAAAACTGCTTGCACAATAAATTGCCATTCTGACTGGTGAGTGTGAATTATAACTTTTCTTCTCTGTTCTGTCATTGCAGATAAAGACAGATCAGCCCCCACATCATTAGAGGTGAGTTTCACATCAGTCTTAGTCACTCCAAACTGTGTTTGCCCCAGTTTTAGAAAAATACTTTTTTCCCTCTAAATGCTGGCAGAGGGTTGCAATTACCCACATTCCTGCAGTTTTATTATCCTCAAAATAAAATGCAGTTTTTTTTAAATTTTTTTTTATATATAAACTCAAATGTTTAGGTAATTCAGCTGTCAGATTTGTTTTCACTCTACAGCTGCCCTCCATTATTTAGTTCATTTATCACACTAACAAGGACAAAACTATTTCAGAATCTGTTTTGACAGCTTGTGCATCATGGACACTGTTGGTGAGGAGTTGCAACGCAAATAGTCTGCAATATTGTTGGCACTGGCCTTGGGAAAAGCATTTCCTTTATACCAAGCCAATGCCAGGAGAGATTTAAACTGGCTTTAGCTGATTAAGTAAGGCTGGTGAAAAGTGAATTAAACATGCAGCACATCAGCACAGTCAATTAATGTAAATATGGCACTGCTCAGCAGCCACAGATGGGATCTGCTTCCTCGGATTTTACTTTAGTGTTTGGAGACATGGGCCCACAAAATAAACATGCATATCAAAGAGGAAAATGTTTGCAGCATTCAGCACCTGCAGCCTTGTACTGAAAAATCACTTTTATCTAACAAAATGCATGATGTTCTTTTGAGTGTTTTCCCAGAGATTGAGTGACCTGTGATCCCCTAAACATGAGTGAGCTCTCTATTAACATCCCTCACTGCTTTGTTCTGTAGTTATTGCATTTGTTGCACGCAATTGCAGAAGAGCACTTTTAAAGAGAGCAAATTTGTATTTTTTTCTTCTCACATTGCACACTCAAACATCGGGACCAAAATAATGTGAAGCGGACATGTGGCCAGTATCTGTTTGGCCACTGCTGGGAGGAGAAGTCTCCCAAAGCATTATGATGTGTACATAGACTAATTACACAAAGTCTCCTGTCTTCTCAGAGCAGTCTGACTGACCTTCATGTTTATCTTGTAGTTCATGTGATCACAGACATGCACAGTTTGTGGGTTTTTTTACATGGCTTACTTGGGATTATAATTCCTCAACTGAAAAACATAACATGGATAAAATCCCATGACTGCATTGTGGCTTCTCAGTCAGATAGAATATGGAGCACCCTTCCTTTTCCTACTCTTCTTACAATGTCTTTTTAATTAAATTGTGTTGTGCTAGTTAGCTAATGTTAGCACAACGTTCTAAACTGAAATGGTTAACATGGTACATGTTTTATGTGGTAAACAAACATATTAGCTTTGCCATTATGAAAATATTGGCATTTAGCCTTATGCTAGCATAACTAGGCTTGGTTTAGTGTAGTTTTCCTTTTGCGCCTAATATAGTTTTATGTTTTGAGAGGCTGTTAACATGACCTGGAACTACAAATTTAACACAGCTTTTTTTTTTTTTGACCTAATTGCATCCTGATTGTTTGGGAAAATTGACTTGATAAACACAAACACATTACTACACTTTTTAATCGATTATGCACAGCAGTGTTCGCACACTCGGACACATTTTGGCCATAGTCCTGTGTCCCTCATGTTTTGGCCTTGTATGCTTATGTTTGTCTTGTGTGTAAGTGAGTCAGCCAAGTAACCAGTCGGCTAGTACCACTCTCTCATGTGTCTGCTTCTGTACACTTGAATTTTTTGGGACTAATCACTGGCTTGTGTAGAGTTGACCCACTTTCCCTCGCTTACACCACAACCTGTATTGGGATAATTATCAGTACCGTCAAGCAAGATACCCATTTGTGTTTCTTACTGTGCATTAAAACTGGTCATGAGCTAAGTTTATGGTTAATATGAGGAAAATGATGTGGCACACAAACCCGCTGTAGCATTGAAGATGAGATTAACCTAGTCTACAGTTGAAGATTAAGGTGAGATTACTTGTTGTAGCCTATTACTGGTTCTCCAGTCTGCCAGGCCACTGTAGCTCAATTGTAGGCCAAGACAGTTGGTTTGCTAGAACCATGTATGAAATGGCTCATGAGTCACTTTCTATATTAACAGTAGTTCAAACACTCCCCATACAGAGACTAAAACCAACAATGATTTGCCTGTACTCGCTGTTAATGTCTCTGTGTGTCAGTCCTGGATCAGCTTAATGGTCTCTGCCATAGACCCACATTGGTGTTTTAAAAACCCATCAGGGAAGCACGCTGCTATGCTGGGTGATACATTTCCTCATTACGAAACACAAGACCTGGATATTTGCCAAGAATGTTCCCCTGAAGATGCTGTAAAATGTTAGCATAAAATGGCAAACATTTTACAGCATCTGAAGAAAGCAAGAGTCAAGGGCCCATGCACCAGATCTCTGGATATTCTTAACAGATATTAGGGTCTTGTGTTTTGTAGTGAGGAAACGTGTCACCCAGTGCAGTGATGTTTTTGAACATCAGTGAGGTCTATAGCACAGAGGAAAACGAGCTAATCCAGGACTGACAGATATTAATCATGAGTAGAGGTAAATCATTTTTGGTTTTAAGTCTCTTTATGGGGACTATTGAAAATACTGTTAACATAGAGAATGGCTGGCCTTATCCCTTAGGTGGAAAAGCAAAACATTATCCTTATGTCTTGTTGGCCAACACACTTGAAGGCAGTGTTTGTGGGGACCATGTCCACTTTAGATATTGGCATTTTCTTTCCATAGTATATGATTTTATCCATCCTTTGAAGTTGCACTACAAAATAATTTAGCATTGTCCTAATGGAGAGCTAGCTATAGCTAAGATGTTAAAGTTCTGACATGACCACATCCGTCCACTTAGGAGACAAAGGTTATTCAGGAGTAAAAAAAATCTCTTCATATTTGTTGCTGATCCTCAAGATACCACCTCTTACACTGGGTTTTACAGGTAAAGGAGGTTGTCTAGTATAAAACAAACCATTGTTGGGAAAACTGCATTTCTAAACTCTGGCACTGATGTCGTGAAAGTGTGTATTTGTGCAGCATAAGAAAAGTTGCTTCAGAGAGAGGTGGAAGTGGATGGATCCACATTTGTGTGTATATTCTCAGATTTTCCTATTGTTTCTGAATGATGTATCTCATAAACAGATACATCTGTCTTAGCACTGAGGCAGAATTTATGGTTTTTTTTTTTTTTTTTTTTTGTCATCCTGCTAAGAAACATTTGAAGACTATAAGTAGAGGATTTCCTGTGTTATCTGTGGTTGGCCAAGACCTCACTGATAACATGTGTTTCGTCCAAGGTGGCAAGCTTTGACCTATCCTGGGTGGAGCCCGTGATCAATTAGTGGTTTGTTAATTGAGAACGTTCCAGCCAGTGCCTGAAACCCAGCAGTGGCTTTTCTTGGCGTCTTTCCCAACTGATTTATCCTCGTACTTGTCCCCACTCCTTCCTCCTGCTCCTCTTTGCCTCATAACTCTGAGTCACAAGCCTTCACATGCAAATTGTCTTATACGTGTATAGCGCTTTTCTATGCATTGCAGCGCACACGAAGTGCTTTCACACACCGGGAGCAACTTTTAGTGTGCGGGGTTTAGTGTCTTGCTCAAGGACATGTTGACTGGACAAGCCGGGATTCGAACTGCTAATCCTCTAATTTTTTTATTTTTTACTTTTCTTTTTTTACTGTTCTGGCTCTGTTAGCCCAGTTACTGGTTATTGATGTTTACTGTAAGTTGCCTCTTCCCTGTTCCTTCTGAAATTAACTCGTACTAGCTTAATGTCATTCTTTGGTAGAAGGAAGTGTAACCCTGTGGAGTGACAGGGTGGAGTTATCCAGCTTTTTTATAACTATTTACGTCTGGACCTCACTGTATATTTGGCAACTTGAATCAAGTTTGTCGCATTAATGTATAGTGATTTAATCAGTGATGTCCTAAATGGTTAGCTTGTCTATGCTAACTGCTGTTGAAACACTCACTGGGCAGTTAATTATTAAGAGATGTGGGCAGGGAAATTGCATTAAATGTTGGCTATATCCGCCCATGTCTTGCCAGTATAGCAAATCCTTTGTTGGTAATCTAGTCTAATACAACTCCTTAAATTAGACATGCATGCAAGAGGATTTTCTGCACTTGGATGTTGTTTGTTTATAGCATGTGGACTACTGTAAACCTTTACATCTATGCAGCCCATGAATGAGACTCCCTGTGCCGTCTGTCACTCCAGCATCCTGTACTATTGCCACCCACTATATTGCACATTGCTCTACATATGGATTATACAGTTGCATAATAAGATGCTAAGGAATGGGATATTTATGTTGGTCCTAGAACAGGATTAACAGCTGCACACAGTTTATAAATGATGGTCTAACACCACAAAATTGATCTCTCTCAAGAAAAAATAGGATCAATAGGTTATGTTGGGCTATTCTGGAGGGTGTTGCTACTTTCATGGTATTGTTATTTTAAGGACTGGTACTTAATTTTTGGAATAACGTTGAATAGAGAGCCAAATAAAACTGAGTTCTGGCTTTTATCTATATGCAGTTGCTGATAAATACTGCTTGTATGGCAACTTAAATGGGAATAGCCCAGTAGCTTCTCTGTTTAGTGAAAACGATTACACTGAAAAAGTTTCACTTTTTTTTTTCTTAAGTTTAATGAATCATTGGGGAAAAACCCAGTGGATCATCTGGAAAAAGTACTGTCAAAATTCTAAAGAGCTGTTTTTATTGGCTCCTGAAAAGCGGACACTTTATTCACCTTCAATGCCTCTCAAAGGCAAAAATGAGTTGACACATGAGGGTGGCTCTTCGATTCCTATGTCACGCCAGTTACGTAAGGATTTTTACCCTCTGTTACTAAAGCCAGTAAGCCCAAACATGCTCAGTCAACACCCTTCCCTTTTATGCGCTACACTCCCAGACCCCACAGCCAGTTACCTGCAACCAAACCCAAGCATAGCCAGCCTTGCCTGTGCACACCTGCTTCACCCACATCAGTACTGTCAGTACTGTTTTATTTGGACACCTCCCTTTTTCAACAACGTGGCTCCATTCCTTTACCTGATGAGAACTTGTAGTGCAGTAATGAGTCACAGTATATGGCACACTGTTGAAGCTTTTATTTGATCATTTCTTTAACTTGACAAAACCACTGTAAAATAGCTTTCAGGTGTTTTTATACTTGTAGTGGTGCTATGTTTTGCCAAATACGGTAGAAATCATTGACCACTGATCAAAGATGTCTTCAGTTGACTAATAATAGGTTTTCTTTGACTGATTTAATAGAAACATGTTTCTTGAAATTGTTGTCATGCAGAAGGCACTGCTGCTGGCCTGCTGCATCAGTTGTAGTGCAAGGCCAGTTCTCAGTATATTAAGAACTCTGTAGTGCAAACTATTATTTTGTGGACATGCTATATTGGGCTCTAACAACACTGAAACCTGTTGCACATTTCAAACACAGAAACCTAGTCCAGCATTGCATGCAAAACCATAGATGGCGGGCAGATATCCACACTGCTCAGTGTTGTGCAAACCTTGTATCATTACAGTTGCACACTGACACAGCTTTCTTTTTGGATTTATAGAAAACGGTGACTGTTACAGTACACCACTGGAAACTCAGAAAATGGATGCAAGCTGCAGTGTGTTTTCTTGCAGGCTGAGTGTGCAGTATGCAGCAACACTATAGTAATGTACAGTTAGTTGGATAGTACAGGCATTTGTAAATGCTGAATATTACACCACTAATATTGGGGTCCACTTAACGTTTGTTATGTCAGACGTGATTGTCAGTTATTTACAGGTATGACTATTGACGTAATCCACAAAAAAAAGCACAAATTACCAAATAGAAATGTGTAATATTTTCAGAAGAAAATGTGTGTGTGTGTGTGTGTGTGTGTTGGAGAAAATTTGCAATTAAAACATTTGAAATACTGAAAAACTGGTCTTGAAATTTTAGTACTGAAAAAAGTTGACTTCCTGTGGCAGTTTGAGCTGAGTTGGAAAAAGCTGCAACAGTATACAATAATTTGTCATTTGTCCCACAGATTATTGACTCGCTGGGTGTCATGATCTATAAAGCTCTGGACTATGGACTCAAAGAAAATGAGGAGCGAGAACTCAGCCCGCCTTTGGAGCGCCTGATCGACTTGATGACCAATAATGAAGAAACTGAGAGTGACCCCTGTCCTGATGAGGGCTATGAGGCCACGGAGGAGGATGAGGATGAGGAACAGGAACCTGAACCAATCTCTAATATGACCATTGGCACAGTCAGCAGCATTCACAGCTATCGAGACATCATCATGGTAGGGTTTTTTTTCTTCTTCTTCTTTAAGGGGGAAAGCTTGATTTTTAAAGGTAAAACAGCCTAGATTTGGAAAACATTTTCTCTCAGCTGGTTAAAGATGCATCCATTGGTCACTGTCAAGTGATCAGTGCAGATGGCAAAATTTGCACTGAAGAAACTGTGCTGTCCAGTTTGCACATCTAAGATGTTCCAATATACCTGTTGTATGTTGGACTGCTCACATGGAACAATACTGTACCTTGCATCAGCTGTGGTCCATGCAAAAGTGTTTGCAAATGAGGTTCAGTTACTACAAAAGTGGAATCCACACAGCCTTTAATGTTGCCATAATAACTTTATTTATTGCAGTCAGACTTTTCACAGTAAACTTGTAATTTGAGAGTAATAAAAAGCATGTATGTCTAAATCTGCTGTTGATTGGCAATATTGTTAGTTTACAAAATGTCTTGCAACAATACGTAAAACTAAATTATCTTACTACGTTTCAGTGTTATCTGAGTGGGGTGTATTGCAGCAAGATCTGTGTGTGGTTGTTTGTCTACATGTCAACCCTATGATAGACTGGCGACCTGTCCAGGGTGCACCCTGCCTCTCACCCAAAGTGACCTGGGATAGGCTCCAGCCCTCCCACGGACCTATTCAGGAATAAGCGGTATAGATAATGGATGGATGTTGGGGAAATGGCATAGTATGACATGGACAGGCTAGTTGACTGCATGTTACTGACATACCTCTTTCCTTTCTTGTACTCTGCTGTTCTGTCATGTCTGAGGTTTCATGGAGTGCAAAAATGACAGGCTAGTGAAGCATGCTTCAAAAAGAGGAACAGCTATACATTCAATGTGCTGAATGGGTTCTCTCATTGGTTTGGTGAAATGGGGTAATCCAAGGAGTGTCATTCTCTTACAGAAGCTGCCAATGTGGAGTTCAGATTGTAGTCTACCCATTTAGGATGGTTTCACATTAGGGACCCAGCCTTGGATCAGAGTATGCTTGACCCCAAATTCCGGTTCATTTTGATCAGTGTGAACACAAACATATCAGACTCGGGCACTGTGCCCAAATTCGCTTAAAGGGATGGAGTATGGGCTGCGAGAGATGTGAACACAACTGTACTCCAACAAGGACGTTGGCTGCTATACAATGTCATAACTATTCGACTTTCGGTTTAAACATTAACAAACATGGCTGCGAAAGGATCTCTGGAGTAATGACCTAAAATGCCTGCTTGAAATTTGGGCCAATGAAAATGTACAAAGACAACTGGATACTATACCCAAAAACTCTGAGATTTATGGAAGTATTTGTGAGCATTTACGTGCGTGCCATGGACCAGAAACGAAACAAAATGTCGCCCAGTTGATGACATGAGTGGTTGCCACTTCTTCTTGGCAGATTGCAAACCAACTATGTGCATACTGTCATCTACTGAATTGAACTGTGTACATATGCAAATGTGCTAGGGCACGGAACGATGTTGCTAATGTGAAAGCAGAGGTGGGGGAGCAATCAGGCAGGGTATAAAACTATTGTGCCTAATGTGAAAACATAAGATACCAACTGACTACTTACCAAATTTCACAAGCCATCAATTTCATACCACATCTCTAAATCATGACGCTGGCACATGCTGTTGTAGTTTTGTCAAAATGATGTGATTTTGTAATTGAGCAGATTGTGGTTTTTAACAAACAGTGCAAACTACAGACAGCAGTGTTTTTAAACAAACAGTGGAAACTACAGACGGCAGCGTTTTTAGTGTGTCAGTTAATGTTCTCACTGCTCAGGTTTGTTTTTTTATTTTGCCTGTGAATCCTTTTCAGTGGATGAGAAATAAGACACTTTGTGCTCAGTCAGATTCCTGTGGCAAGCCAAACCCATCAGGGAAAACCTGGAAATATGTCATTCATCTGGTTTCTCCTTTGTGTCACTGGAGTTAATATGACGGCTTTTGCTAGGCGGCCTTTATTATCATTACAGTCAGTTGAATGCCGTCAGGGTCAGAGCTTTAAATGGAGCATGGGTGGTGAGAGTCAGGTGATGTGATGTTGCTGCTACCGGATATTCAGGTTTACACTGATTTGTTGTGGTTTACACAGTTTCATATTTTAGGTACTGACAGTGGCATTGGCTCTGTAGATATCAGTTACCAGCTTTAGTCCCAGATGAATTACCTCAACAGTTATTGGATGCCATGAATTTTTGTACAACTGTACACACGATCCTGTTCCCTGAAAGATGAAACGTAGTATACCGTCTTTGGTGATCTGTCTCCATAATGAGACATTTTCAGTTATATGTTAATGGATTATCATGAAATTTGGCAGAAAAATGTATTCCCCTTTGGGTGGATTGTAAATCATACATTTTGATTTGGTTTTGTGACCATATACTGCCCAAATTAATATTCATATCCACCTAGGCTTTACTTTGTGTTTGCAAGCTGTAGCCAGCATGCTAAGAGCCTATGATGTTTCCATCTTAGTCTAAACAATATACCTACCACATCAGCAAGGCAGCACCGACATTGTGAGTATCTTGGCATTAAGTTCATAGCACAGCTGTGCCTGTGCTGTTTGCCTGGTTGTACATTTGAGTCAAACCTGTCCTAAATAATTATGTTGAACTATATAATGGAATGTTTTATTATTAAAAAAAAAAAAAAAACCCTTAAAGTTATGGCTGTCAAAAATACAGCAGACTGATAATGATCTGACATGTCGTGAAGACTCATGAACTATGTGAGAGACCAGTTTTATTGCGATTCGCCTCTTTAGGCTTGAGGTTGTTTATTTCAGGCTTTTTTGCTGAAAGTTAAGTGACTATGTACATGTGTGGGTGTTCTCCTCTTGATGTCAAATTATTTAATTAATTCATGAGTTCTATGTATGCACCAATTATAATCTCCCCACCCCCCTCTACAGCTATGTTCTTCCCACCTGCCCAGTCCATCAGATGCCCCCAATCATTACCAGGCTGTGTGTCGTGCTCTCTATGCTGAGACCAGGGAACTGCACACCTTTCTGGAGAAGATCAAGAATGCCAAGGAGGTAAGAAGGTCTGGCATATGTTATTGGAAAATCTGGTGAGGATAAGTCACAGGAAGAGTAACAAATGTGTGACATAAATTGGCAGTGGTAATGCTTTTTTTTAAATTGGTGAAAGATCAGATCAGAAGAACAAAACATTATGCTTAGAAGGAATCTGCTTGATGAAAAGAAAAGCAGCTGAGTTGAGGGCCCTTAATGTTTTATTACTTAACTGTAAAAGTATAGCATAGATATCATTGTTCATGCTCGAGTCCCCCCGCACCCTGGAAAAAATGCTATCGGTATGTTGTGAGACTTCTATTAAATGACAAAAAAAAAAAAAAAAAAAAAAAAAAAAAAAC